CCCCGAGTCTTCCGAGGCCGCACGAGGCACTCCGGCCCCCGGCCACTCGGGGGTGTAGCGTGCGGACGCGGGTGCACCGGGCAGTGCTCTCCCCGGAGACCGGAAATGCGGCCGTCCGACCGTGGTGGTTCTGACCCAGGTTCCCGGGGTTGGAAGGCCATGGGCTCTCTGTCTAGTCAGCCCGTGACGCTGCTTTGCTCTAAGAAAGTCGTGGAACTGTCAACAAGCAGAAGAGATGTTGGCCTTTCTGTAACTGACTGCCCCCAGCCCTTCGTCGTGCCTAACCCGGGTGAATGAGAAGGGATACAGAATAGTCAGTAGGGCTCCCCAGGGGATTCGGTCTGGGAGTAGACTGGACTTGGTGCATTTCTCGTTTGCTTTTGGTTTGGTGGTTCTGAGGGTGCATCCATAGCCTGGTACAAGCTAGGCAAGTGAGCTACAACTTCTGCCCCTCCCGCTCTTCTGCACCCGAGTCACCAGCAGCGGCTTTGACTTCGTGTCAGTGGACTATGACCTTGGCTCAGCCACAACACTGTGCCCTAATCCCAGACGCAGACTCTGACCTCCAATCTTGCCCTACCTGTCTAGTGGGCACAAGGGCTGGCCCAGGTTTTACCGTGGTGCCTGAGCCTCCTAGACTTGTCTGTTTTCCTGCCTCCACTCCGTGAACTGTGGCGGCTATACAGGGCTGCTCGGGTCACCTGATGACACCCCGCTGGAGTTCTGGAGGAAGCTGAGCAGAGATTGTGACCCAGCACTGGCCCGTGGAGAAGAATACAGGTGGCCCCAGTGCACACTGCTACCCTCAGTGCCCAGCATGTTGTTGGGTTCCCGGGTAGCTTTGACCTTGACAGTGTAGCATGGCCAGACCTAGATTTGAGGATAAAGGCTCCAGAACCAGGTGACAGGCACTTATTCTTTTTGGAGTTAAGCCAGGCCACGTGGATGGGGCTGGCCTGTCTTAGGGTAGAATGGAGTTTGCTGCTAAATCAGGACTGTTTTGTTGTTTCAAAGCTTGAGTGTGGCTTGTTGATCTGGGGCTGAGTCTTGTTTGGGGTGCAGAAGGTTCCATGTTTAAGTCCTGGACAAGTTCTGTTTTGTGGGCTGCGGATGTAGCTCACCAGCTCTCTGGATCTTACCAAGCCTACTCCCTGAACTGACCTGGCACTGACTGAGTCCTTTCCTTAAGTCCAGTATCTAGGGTGTGGACAACTGAGAACCAACTTTGGCTCTGTAAACCCCAAATTCAGGGGTTTGGTTTAGTAGCCCTCCGAGGGGGCTTCCAAAGGAGCAAAGTTGTGGTCCTGCACAAGGCCCCCAGTATCCAACCGAGATCAGTATAAGACCTGACCACCCGCCCTGTCTGCCCTCACAGCTATGATATGGTGCATTATGGTCACTCGAATCAGCTGCGCCAGGCACGGGCCATGGGGGACTACCTCATCGTGGGTGTGCATACCGATGGTAAGGTGTGGGCTGCCATTCTGGGACCTACTCCAACCAACTGAGCCTGCAGGGCGCAGGGGGTGGGGGCGGGGGAACGACCCCTGCATCCTTCCCCAGAGCATAGTGGTGGCTAAGAGTTTAGTAAGTAACCCAGCCTGGTCCCAGCTATAGAGAGAGCTGTGGCAACACTGGACAGAGCCTCCTCTGCTGTATTGTCCCCTACCTGGTTCCTGAGAACAGAGAGACTGGTCACTCTTCTTGGTTATAGGGTATCCATACTAACCAGCAGATACCCTGGGCACACATGCTGGCTACATAGAGTCCTGCCTTGTGGGCTACGGCTGGGAGAAAGGAACCACCGCGTTCCATCACACACATGTAGTTACTTCCCGCTTAGCTTTGTGGTAGAGGCTCCTAAGGACTGGCCCCTGGAGCCGGCCACCATTTGTCTTGTCCTTTTTCTTTTCTCTGTCCCTAGAGGAGATTGCCAAGCATAAGGGCCCCCCCGTGTTTACCCAGGAGGAGAGGTACAAGATGGTACAGGCCATCAAGTGGGTGGATGAAGTGGTGCCCGCAGCTCCCTATGTCACCACCCTGGAGACACTGGACAAGTTCAACTGTGACTTCTGTGTTCACGGCAGTGAGTGGGCGGGGCCTGGAGATAGGGTCTGGGGTAGAGGGCTCCCCATCCCATGCAGGCAGAAGGCTCTGGGCCCATTCCCCAAGAGCACTGGCACAAATGAAAGGGTCATTCTGGTCCCAAGGGTGCCCTGAGCTAAGGAACATTTTCTATGAGCCCAGTGTGATGGTGCATGCACATGGTCCTAGTAACGGGGAGACTGGAGCAGGGGCATTAAACACTTCAGGTCACCCGGGCGATGGTGGTGCAAGCCATTAACCCCAGCACTCTGGAGGCGGAAGTAGGTGGACCCCTGAGTTGCCAGGTCTACACAGCAGGTTCCAGGTCAGCCTGGGCTGCACAGCAAGATCCTCTATCTCAGAAACAACAACAGAATCTTTTTGTGTGTGCATGTCACCCCTAGATGACATCACGTTGACAGTAGATGGCCGAGATACCTATGAGGAAGTGAAGCAGGCTGGGAGGTACAGGTAGGTTCAGTGGTGATCAAGTGGATCCCTTCCTAGCTCCATTGCTGCTCTGAAGCAGCCCACAGTCAGGACTGGGTGCAGGAAGGAATGCTTGTGGGGTGACCTTTGTGTGGCCAGTCCTAGGGCAGCATTCTTATTGGCACTGTGGGTAGAGACTCAGTACTGTCACGGGTGCCCCTGGAGAACTGGCCTTTTAATTTAATTAACTATAATTTAAAGAGCCAGCTGTGGCCAGTGGCTCCTACAGAGGACAGAGCAGCCTGGAATAGAGCAGGTGTAAGAGAGGCCAGAGGAGATACGCTGTGCTATGTGTACCAAATGTAGCCTGCCTACTCCCGGGTGCTACATTGTACAGTTGTTGAATGAACCCTCTGCTCTGTCACTGATACGAGCCCATTGCTCTGCCCCAATCCGGTTTTCTGTTGTCGGGGACTGGGTTAGGGTCATGTCCCTCAGGTGGGTTCCGCCTGTAGCAGAGCCTCAGAAGTGTGTCTGGGATGAAAACCTCCACCTTACCTCTGCCCCAGAGAGTGCAAACGCACGCAGGGTGTGTCCACCACAGACCTCGTGGGCCGCATGCTGCTGGTGACCAAGGCCCACCACAGCAGTCAGGTGAGTCTGGAGGGATGGGGTCTGGGACGTAATCCCTGGGCTGTGGACAAACGGAGGGAGGGTGGGGCACCTCCTAGTCACCCTCGAGTCCAGCCTGTTCTCTCCCTGACCATCCCGTCCTTGGGCTCTGGGGCTATGGTATGCTGGTCCCAGGGTTGGCAGTCAGGAGGGCAAGGTCCCTTAGCCTCTTGCCCTTGTGTGCAGGAGATGTCCTCCGAGTACCGGGAATATGCTGACAGCTTTGGCAAGGTGAGTCCAGCTGGGCTGCGAGGCTGCTCTGGAAATAAAGACAGCCACCACACAGCGCTCCCCAGCCACCCACTGTAGGCTTCCCACGGGGAAAGGTTCACCTAGGGCTTCACTGTCTGCCCTCCTTCCTCTCCTTCCCAGTGCTGGCCAGGTACTGACCACCAGGCTTGACCAGCTAGTGGACTCTGGGAGGGAGGACAGGCAAGAGGTGGCCAGTCCCAGCAGCCACTTCTTGGAGGAGGAGCAAGGACTGCCCACCTACAGGTGGCATCTAACCAAATGGCCTGGCCCTCTCTCCCTTTGTAGCCCCCTCACCCGACACCTGCCGGGGACACACTTTCCTCAGAAGTCTCCTCCCAGGTGACCAGATGGTGGCCTCAGGGTGCCGGGTCCCTCAGAGGGCTGTGACTGCTGGCCACTGGGCTCTGCGCCTGCTCCTGGTGGTGTGTTGCCAGGCAGAGCTGGTGTTGACTGCAGTATCTTCTGTGGCCACCGGGTGGAGCCACAGTCCTGCTAGCTACAGTGGTCCTGCTTGACCTTACCATGGTGTGTCCTTGCCCCTGCCCCAAGTGCCTGCCTGGACATAGCCCCCGGCTGTGCTGCTGGGTTATTCGCAGGCTGGGGTTGGGGGGAGTCCAGCTTCTAATGCCCTGTGCACATGCGCCCAACACCCACACCTATGACAGGGCACAGGAAGCCCTGGGCTCCAAAGAGTGGCCCTGAGGGTGGGGGTGCCGGGTGAGGGGCACACATTGAGGCCTCTGGCACTGACTGGTTCCTTCTCTTGGCTAATAGTGCCCTGGGGGGCAGAGTCCCTGGACAGGGGTGTCCCAGTTTCTGCAGACATCCCAGAAGATCATCCAGTTTGCTTCTGGGAAGGAGCCCCAGCCTGGGGAGACAGTCATCTACGTGGCCGGTGCCTTTGACCTGTTCCGTATCCTCTGGGGCCTCTGTGCCCCACAGTCATGCCACAGAGTGGAACCTGTAGGCTCAAGGCCCCAGGGTTGAGCTGGGTTGTAGCGGGTACAGCCCTCATCAGGGAAAATAGCAAAATGTCCCTTGGGTCTACGCTGTTGAGAACAGGAGAGAGCCCTCCCTTCCTAGCCCCTTACTGCCGCCCCTCACCCCTTGGGTTGGGGATGGAACCCTGGGCTCTGTATCTGAGACACGTGGCCATTGCTGAGCTACAGCCCCAGGTCTCACTGTTTGGAGACAGAATTTTCCTGTGTGGTCCAGGCCGACCTAGAGCTTGCAATGCTCCTGCCTCCACCATGCAAGTGCTGGGTATGCAGGAAAACACCATGTACATGTACAGCTAGTTACTGCTTCTTAATCCGGATGTAGACATCGGGCACGTGGACTTCCTGGAGGAGGTGCACAAGCTGGCCAAGAGGCCCTACATCATCGCTGGCCTGCACTTTGACCAGGTCTCTGCCTTTCTGCTTGCTTGCTTCTCAGTACCCCACAAGCTGATGGGCCATGGGATCCCCCACAGGGCCTTGCTGGGGTCAGTGGTAGGCCCAGGTGGCCTCTAAGGGACTGAGGCTCCAGGTGTGTCTAGTCAAGGCAAGCATGGATCTCTTCTGGAGTCCAGGACAGCCCTGCCTAGGGCTCCTGTGAGAGGGAGCACCTCTCCCAGCTTCTGCCCAGGAAGGCCAGCTGAGGGGGGAGGGCACCATTCCTTAGCTGAGCCAACCTCCTGGCCCTAGGAAGTAAACCGATACAAGGGCAAGAACTACCCCATCATGAACCTGCATGAGCGGACTCTGAGCGTGCTGGCCTGCCGGGTGAGTGGGCTGGAAGCGTTTCCCTGAGACGTAGTAAGATGGGTGGCGGGTGGCTGGGCCCCATTGGTGCAGTTTCTGTCCCCTACTGAGGAGTCTGAGGATTCCCTTTGCCCGCTGTCCCTGTTATGGTACCCTGTCCTAGCTGGCACCCCTGGGCCTTCTCTGCCACCCTCTACCCCTGGCTTGCCAGATATGAGAACTGAGTGAGTTGCTTTCCTGGCTGTGTCTCTCTGCAGTATGTCTCAGAAGTGGTGATTGGGGCACCGTACTCGGTGACAGCAGAGCTCCTGAGTCACTTCAAGGTGAGGCTTCTCTCTAGCTGACAAGGTTCTTAGAGGCACCCGCCGGGGCCAGCCAGGGCCAGCTTTCCGAGGTCTGGGCTAGCCCTGGGTGGTTGTCAGTGGTGGCAGAGCTTCTCTGAGGAAACCTCCTGACCTTTGCCTCCCCCTTGTAGGTGGACCTAGTATGTCATGGGAAGACAGAAATTGTGCCAGACAGGGATGGCTCTGACCCTTACCAGGTGGGTTGCCCTGGTCTGGGTTTCTGGGAAGTGGGAACAACGGTCCTTTCTGGTTTTGGTCCCCTGTGTGTAGAGGGGCCCCTAGGGGTGTCTTTGTGGTCAGGAGGATTCTCACCACTCTTCTCTCTGCACTGAGGCCTCCAGGAGCCCAAGAGAAGAGGAATCTTCCGTCAGATCGACAGTGGCAGCGACCTCACCACAGACCTGATTGTGCAGAGGATCATCAAGAACAGGTGTGGCCCCTCCCTCTCCAGGTGGGTCGGCCGTGGGGCAGCTCCAGGTATTAGAGGTCCGGTTGATAATACCTGGTCTGGCCGCAGGTTGGAGTACGAAGCACGGAATCAGAAGAAGGAAGCCAAGGAATTGGCCTTTCTGGAGGCCATGAGGCACCAGGAGGCACAGCCTGCAGGGGAGACTGACTGACTTCTGACCTGGAGGATGTCACTCATGCCCTTGCTCTGCCCATCTCTTCTCTCCCTACCCTGCTCTGCTTCTGTGTCTTGGTGTCAGCTCACACAATTCCAAAGGAAGCTGGCCTTGCTGGAGGGTGCTGTTCTGCCGCCTGTGAGGCACCCACTGCCCATCTTGCCACAGGCTCTGTTCTTTCCACTGAGCTGCTCAGAGAGGGTGGCCAGCACAGTGAAGCAGCCTAGCGGACAGGAGACTGGAGGAGTGTTGCTGTGTGTCCTTAGCGTCCACAGTTCCGACTGCCACTGCCCCAGTCTTAGCTGGGGATGCCCCTCCTGCCTGACTGGAAGCTGCAATCTGCCAGCCCAGCTTTGATGAGAGGTACAGAGGGGGATGATTTTGGGGACCTCTTGTCCTGAATCACCCTGCAAGTGGGCACCCTCTACTTTGGGGCACGTTCTAGCACCCCATTCCTGATTCCCAGAAGATGTACTTCCCTGACGGCTGGGCCAACTTGATTGTTCTCTGCACAGACTCCGTGGTCTGCATTTCGTACCTCAGTGGCTGATGTAAATCTCTTTGGCTCAACTGAATAAAGCCTAGCGGGGACGTGCCCTGCGGGCGCCTGGCCACAGAAAGACACAGGAAACCGTCCACAGCAGGAATTCTTTTAGAGAAAGGTGGACAGGACAGGACAGGAAACTGGGCAACCTGTGTACCTGTCCCTGGCTCTTCTGTAGACCCAGGATCTAGGTCTTGGCACACTAGCAGGTCTGCCTCTTGGTGGTTGACTGTAGGGGAGGCTGACTCAGTGCTGAATTCCTGGCTTCTCCCAGACAAGGATTCTGCTGGTTCTTTCCTATCCCATGCCTGGTCTCTGTACCTACTGAAGCAGGTAGACCTGCACTCTCTCCTCTCTTGGAAGCAGGAGAGCCTTTGTGAGCGTATGAGACCTGGGATCAGGATCTGGAGGAGGGGCATACCTACCTCCAGCCAGTACAGTGCTCAGCGTTCACTCCTCAGCCCTGCCTGCTAGGAATGGGGTGGTGCCCACACTAGGACCCCTGGGCTGTGCCCACACTAGGACCCTGCGCAGTCTCAGGTCCAGGAAGCCACCCGAATGTGCTGGTCTCCAGAGGAACACTGCACAGGCAGGCATGCTCTGCGCCACCATGGCCTCTGGGTGAGGGCACCACAGAGAGGAAGACACCCTAAACAGCAGGCTCAGGGACTCTCAGACCAGAGCTCGCTCAGCTACTGAAGCTGGCACCTGGAGGTGTTTGCCTTGGGCTGGAGGAGAGGTGGGACTCAAGCCAGCTGCCCACTTGGCTTTGTGGCCAGCACCCAGAATATGTGAGGGGTGGGTGAGTCAGGCAGGTCACTGAGCCTTCTGGTCCTCTGGCCCTCAGGGCAGTGGGCATTTGGGGGTGGGTCCAAGGGCTCCTGTGCAGTTAGATCCTTACTCTGGATCAGCGCACCTCACTTCTTGTCCTGATTTGTTGAATGGAACAGTAGCTATGTGCTTAGTGCTTCAAGGTCTTTGGGGGACTCTAAAGGGTAGGAGTCAGACAAGGTTAGGGATGGGGGCGGTAGGAATTCCAGAAGCAGCAGGGTCACTTGGGGTGTGGCAAGACAGAAAGCAGGACTTCTGGAAAGAACCTATGAACCTGGATTGCTAAGGGTGATTCTCTGACTTGAGGGGCAGCATGGTGGGGCTGTTTTAGATGACCTGCTAGGAACTCTCTATGCCCAGTGCCTACTGCTTAAGTGGGGGGGGGGGTCACCTGTGCGGACGGTGGGGTTGGGGGGCCTCTATACCTGTTCTGGCTTTGTGGAAGAGGGAAAGACCCAGGCTGGCCAGAGAAGGGGATGCTATTGGGAAGCCCAGCAGTGGCCCGGGGGCCTGCTCGGACGTCACCCACTCCCAGGAGCACTAGTCAGTCTGTGCTAACCTCCAGTGACCCTCAGCAGACACAGTTTTGCTTCTTTATTCATTTAGCCATTTGCTGTGGAGCATGGTAGGAGTTAGGGGTCACAGGCGCCAACCCACATGACAGGGCCTGCGCAGCTTCAAGCAAGGTTGGGCATGGGGGTCACCCACCACAGCCAGTCGAGTTTTGGGTTGTGGTTCAGGGCTCAGGCCGTTGACATTCAGCCTCCTGCAGCGATAAGAAGACGTCCGCTTTACACTGCAAAGTTCCTGGGCTGTTGAATTGCCGCCGGCAGCTCTGCAGGTTCGGGGTCACCTCTTTGACACACAGGGCCTGGGTGGGCGGTGGAGGCTGAGGGCCCGCTCGTGCCCCACCCGCTCCCGCCACCCACCACCCGCTTGCACTCACAAGGCTCCTTAGGCTAGAGTGCATCTCCAAGCGTAGGGGTCCTGTTCCGACAGGGAGTGCTGGGGACTCGGAGCGTCGCGGGGACGGGAACCTGTGGAAGTTGGACAGCAGCCCCGCGGCGCGGCCCACCGAGTAGTGCTGGGGTCCCGCCGCAGGCTTGTACCACGCAAGGTTTGGCGGCAGGAGCAGCAAGAGTAGCGCCAGGGCAGCGGCCACCAACGTCCCACACTGGGCCATGGAGCTGTGCTGTGCAGCAGGAGCGGGGGAAATGTGGCTGAAGTCTGTGAACCGGGCTGGGCTTTATATCTGCAATGGGGGGGGGGGCGGGGGCGGCGGGGGGGGGGGGCGCGGAGGCGGGGGGGGGGGGGGGGGGGGGGGGGGGGGGAGGCGGGAACAGAGGCCGGGAGGAGGAGCAGGGAGGAGGGGAAAGCACCAGGGAGGAGTGGCAGTGGAGCACGGAGGATCAGTGGGATCTCTTACACCTTGCTGGGCCTGAATACTCAGGCCACTGATGGGCAGAGAGCCAATCTCTCCCTTGCTGAAGTTTAACTGCCCCTCTGAGACTTACTAGCCAGAAGTATCAACGTCCCCAGGTGGGATGATAGACTGTCTTAGGGTTACTATCACCGTGATGAAACATCACAACCAAAAGCAATGTCAGGAGGAAAGGGTTTTTATGTGGTTAACATATCCTGTGTCACAGTCTACTGGAAAAGCAAAGGCAGGAACTCAGACGGGGAACCTGAAGGCCATGGGAGACAGTTGCTTCCTGGCTTGCTCCTCATGGTTTCCTCAGCCTGCTTTCTCATAGAACCCAGGACCACCAACCTACAATGGACTGGGCCCTCCCAGATCAGTCACTAATTAAGAAAATTTCCACTGGGTGCAGCGGCACACGCCTTTAATCCCAGCACTCAGGAGGCAGGGGCAGGTGGGTCTATAAAGGACAGCTACGGCTATTATACAGAGAAACTGTCTTGAAAAGAAAATTCCCAGGCTGGAGAGATGGCTTAGTGGCTTAAAGCACTGGCTGCTCTTCCAGAGGACGCAGGTTCAATTCCCAGCACCCACGTGGCAGTTCACAACTGTAACTCCAGTTCCAGGGGATCACATGTCTTCTGGTCTCTGCAGATATTGGGGGAATGCATGTGGTGCACAGACATGCTTGCAGGTAAAACAGTCACACAAAAAATAGAAATTATATATAATGAAAAAATGGCCTACAGCCTGATCTTACGGAGGGATTTTCTCCATTGAGGTTCCCTTCTCTCAGATGGCTCTAGCTTATGTCAAGTTAACTTAAAACAGCAGCACAGGGCCCACCATGTAGTGTGAGTTCTAATTGGTCTTAATAATAAAAACCTGGAGTCAGCTATCAGGGCAAAAGCTAAAAGATCAGAGAAGCAGCGCAGCCAGCCACTAGCTCTTACCTCTCCCTCAGACCAAAGGGGCAATCTTACCGCTACAAATCCTCAGACTGCATCTGAGCTCCTGTCTCCTCCCGCCTTGTATTCTCTGCCTAGTCTTAACACTTCCCATCTCCACCTGCCTAGTGCTGGGATTAAATATGTGAGCTACCACCACTTGGCTCTATTTCTCTTTCAGACTGGATTCAACCTTGCATAGCCCAGGGTGGCCTTGAACTCACAAAGATCCCTCTGCTTGTCTCCTGAATGCTGGGATTAAAGATGTGAGGCACCACTGCATGGCTTTCTCTCTCTCTCTCTCTCTCTCTCTCTCTCTCTCTCTCTCTCTCTCTCTCTTTGGTTTTTCCAGACAGGGTTTCTCCCAGCACTCAGGAAGCAGAGGCAGGCGGATCTTTGTGAGTTCGAGGCCAGCCTGGTGTACAAGAGACAGCCAGGGCTGTTACACAGAGAAACCCTGTCTTGAAAAACTAAAAGAAGAAAAAGAAGAGGGCATGGAGAAAGCCTACCTAGTCGATGGCATAAGCTTCCCACAGGACCTGCTATTCCTGCCTGGCAAAGGGGTTCAGGAGCACAAGCTGTCGTGATGGGATTGTATCAGGGTGTCCTGACTGGAACCAGGGCCTCTATATGCAGGGAGGGTTATATGCCCGGGTTAGTTAGGGTCTTCTGATCTCCAGAGAGATTGGGGATGTGAGATGAGTGGAGCTGGTCCTGAGATAACAGACCAGAAAGACCTAAGTGCTAAGGAACGGAGGGAGAAGCTTTGTAGTCTTGGAGAGCCCTGATGTGAGCCTGGGAAGAGAAAGCCCTCATGAATACTCCCTGTTGTACAGTAAGATGCTTCAGATAGGGTGACCTAGAATGGTGGATTTCCCCACAAAGTTCCTAGGAAAAGCATGGAAGGCACTCAGGAGGGTGAGCAGGCTGGGGATGGAAAAACCAGCTAGGATAGACCAGACCTATCAGCCCAAGGAGCTTCCTCTGCAGCTCTTGGGTATCCTTGGGCTGAGTTACATCCATCTCTATTCGTGCCAGCTGATGCCAGTACCAGGCTCAGCATGCGAGACATAACCAAGCAGTATGGAGCTAGGGTCTCTCGGAAGGCACCGCAGACAGCAAGTCTCATTGCCAACACCCTTGTAGATGATACAGATGGCAGGAAGTCCTGCCCCTGCTTGGCCTGCTCTCCAGGCTGTAGGGCACAGGTGGTGTGCAAATGTGTTCACTGGCAATGGTCACTGAGTCTCTGAGGACTGTTATGCCCAAATCCACAACCCTCGCAAGCAGACAAAGAAACCAATAGTCCCGTATGTAAAAAGCAAAGAGCCTTTATTTTAGTCAAGTTTGCAAACTCGGTCTCTCCGCATATCCAACGTATTGGAATAAATGGAGAGCCCAGAGCTCAATTAGAATAGGATTTTATAGTAGTAAAGACGGGGGTGAGGGGTTTCTGAGGTTTTAAGAAACCTGATTGCTGACATTCGCCTAGGGTTTCTTGGTGACTATGCGCTGGCAGGTGTTTCTATCTACAATGCTTGGAAAGCCAGGTACTTTGAATTTCCTTTGAATGGTCTGTTCTTGGGTGGGGGTCGGGTGATCTCAGCTTGTGGTTCCTCCTGCAGTCCAGCATCGCATCGTCTCAGGGTAAACAATTGAGACTCCAACCTCCATTTAAATTCATCGATGGCCAGAGTCCCAGGTGATAATGGTTGGAAGAAGCAAAGAACTTCCTTTGGGTGACCTGCCCAGACTTAGACTATCATGGCTGGCCCTCACAAGGACAAGGTGATGAACTGACCAGGACTCCCAGATACCACCTTAAATTAATTTCCACCCAGGAGCTTCCACACACCCTAGGGCTGGCCTATTGTTCCACTAAGTGGCTGAAAATCCCCAGCTGTAGGGAATAAAGAAGTTTGCAAAGGACTGTCCTTCCTGAGGGCACCAGAAGACCACATCCTCCCACCCTAGATCTGGTCTTCAGTCTGAGGAAGACACAAAGGTCCCCGAAGATCACCTGGGCATGACCACTGCCGGCTTGGCCAGAACGGCTCCTGAAGGGTGGCTGCCAGCCTTGCTCAGCTAGGGCTGGACTTCTTCCAGGTTAGGTCTCTTCTACTTTTCCTGTTTCTGAGTTGTGACTCAGGTTATCATGAAGCCCTTGGCAGTCATTTCATCAAGATGTTTATTCATAAGGGTTTTCATAACAAAACACGCCTCAGCTTTTTCAATATGTCAAGAACGCAGGCAACCAGAGGCCTCCAGCAAGGCTTGGGACTTTAATGAGTTTTACTTATTGAATAAAAGTGTCAATGATGTGATGAAAAATACGAACAAACAAAAAGATCCCGTTTCAGCCAAAAGGAAGGCATCCTTGTCCCCAGTGCAGAACCAGGGCCGGGGTACCACTATGAGGAGGGGAGGGAAGGGGCGGAGCCTGTGAAGGGGCGGAGCCTGGCCCGGAGCTGGCAGAGGAAACATGGGCCTCACTCCTTGAACTTCCACTCTTGGCGACACATGGGGCAGTGCTGCTGCACCTGCTGCGCGTTCAGCCACTTGAGGATGCAGTGCATGTGGAAGCAGTGTGAACACTGCCCCCACACCAGAGGGCAGTCGTCCCCAGGCACCTTACCTGTAAGGGGGCCGGGAGGGAAGATGTTAGGACACAGGAGAGCATGTGATGAGCCAAGCACACACCTCCAGGGCATTGGTAACAGCTTCAGCCCGCAGGCAGAGCTTCTCATGCCTCCTACATCAGGGGAGACAACACAGGAGTGTGACCCAAACCGTCCCCAGATACGGCCCACATCATGAAAGACCTACAGTGACTCCCTCACACCCTTTTGTGGAAAACTGACCTGGAATACCCAGAAGGTAACATTAAAATGGCCATGGTGCCAAGGAGTCACAACCTGAGTAGGGAACTCTGTCTTCATTAAAGGAACTTGGGAGGTTCTTTCCCTGAACTCCCGAGATCAACTGCACCCTGGTGTCATGGGACAGCTGCTGAGGGGACTTGATATCAGCAGGTGCCATCTTCTCTCACCTGAACCCTCAGCTCTCCTACCTCCAGCCAAAGCCAGGGGCACAGGCTGCAGGTTCTCACTCTGCAAGCCTGGAAGTCTTCCTCCATGGAGAAAGCCCAATTAGAGACGGCCAGAGTTGGTATCATGATTAAAACTAATTAGGGGCTACAGAGCTGGCTCAGCAGTTAGGACACTTGCTGATCTTGCCCAGGACCCTGATCCAGTTTCCAGCTTCCATGTGGCAGCTCACAGCCACCTGCGGCTCCAGGTCCAGGGGCGTCAACGCCCTCTTCTGATCGCTACAGACTCTGTATACATGTGGTAAACACAGATGGACATTCAGGCAAAACACCCATACACATAAATGAAAACAGATTAATCTCTTTTTTTCTTAAAGTAAAATTTAAAACGGGCTGGAGCGATGGCTCAGGGGTTAAAAGCACTGGCTGCTTTTCCAAAGGACCTGTGTTCAATTCCCAGCACCCACATGTACACAACTGTCTGTAACGCCAGCTCCAGAGAACCTGACGACACCTTCATACAGACATACATGCAGGTAATACACCAATGTACATAAAAATAAATAAATCTTTTTTAAAAAAATTAAAAACAAACAAAAGGGGAGACTGGGAACGCAGCTCAGTTGGTGGAAGGGCGCCTAGAAAGCACAAAGCCCTGAATTCTACCCACAGGAGTGCACAACCAGACAATCCCAGCTGGAAGTAGGAGTGTGAGGAATTCAAGGCCATACTTAGCTACACAAGGATTCTGAAGCCAACCTAGGATACAAGAGACACGAGACCCTGTTCAAAAACAAGCAGACAAGGGCTGGAGAGATGGCTCAGCGGTTAAGAGCACTGCCTGTTCTTCCAAAGGTCCTGAGTTCAATTCCCAGCAACCACATGGTGGCTCATAACCATCTGTAATGAGGTCTGGTGCCCTCTTCACGCATGCAGACAGAATACTGTATACATAGTAAATAAAATCCCACTGAAGAAGGCAGAGCACAGGGACACTTTAGGTTCTGTCCCACATCACTATCACCCAATCCAACCTGGGTACCAGTCCTGTGTCTGTCACACTCGCGCTCAGCGCTACTGAGCCTTTTTCTCTCTTTTCTTTCTTTCCTTTGTTTTGTTTTTCAAGACAGGGTTTCTCTGTGTAGCCCTGGCTGTCCTAGAACTCATTCTTACCTGCCTGCTTCTGCCTCCAGAGTGCTGGGATTAAAGGCGTTTGCACCACCCCGGCTCCTAACTTCAGAACTCTGCTTGAAATCACCCTTTTCCAATTAGACTTGGACCCAACTGGCTCATGAACAAGGATCACGGAGCTGGCTCATCTGTGGGTGGCCATACGGAGGAGGGTGCTGTCCCTACAGGGCGAGCACTTGATGAGCGCGCTAGCGCACTGACGGTGATTCATGCAAGGATTGCTTAGTGCCTTGACAAAATTATTTCTTTTAATTAAAACACCTCTTGACAAGACTGCTTTACTTAAAGTCCCCTGGGACCTGAAACAGATTTATTACAGCCTTGGTAACTTAATTTTCACAGGAGTTTAATCTGAGAAACCTGGTGCTTATGGAATCTCTCCAGAAAACACACTGGACCTGTCAGACACTTGGCACATTAAAGTCAACTCCCTCTCATTTAAACAATCTATGAGCTAGACTGAGTCTCTCACTCTGTGCAGCTAACAGCCCTGTTTTAAGAAAGTCTGGGTCTACTTCACACAGATGACTCAGTGCCTAGCCACCTAAGATGCTTTCTGGCCATCCCTTTGGTCACAGACCCAGCTAGGGTCATCCAGGTTGTGTCCTGCAGCCCTCGCGTGGGTTACTTATGCACAGGTTAGAACAGGTAGTTCTGGGTCCAGTGGAGCCTGTGCCTGAAGGTGGCACTGCTAAGCAAATTCTCGAGAGTTTTCACAAAGCTCAGTCTGATGTGACAGACGCGCACACGCACCTGTCCTCTGACTCCCACACTCTGTGTGACTCTGATAAATAAAGATTCCTGGGGGACTGGAGAGATGGCTCAGAGGTTAAGAGCACTGGCTGCTCTTCCAGAGGACCTGAGTTCAACTCCCAGCAACCACATGGTGGCTCACAAGCATCTCAATGAGATCTGGCGCCCTCTTCTGGCCTGCAGGAATACATGCAGGCAGAACACTGTATACATGAAAGACTGAAAGACAGACAAAAAGATTCCTTCATGCTTGTTAAGGAACACAAAATTCAGGTAACTTGGTTCTATTTAATAACAATTGCCACTTGTAGCTGGGACAGATACCCGACAGCAGTCAGCAAAACAAAGGAAACATTTCTCATATTTATAGACTTTAGAGGGGAGAAGTTTCTGAACTCAGTTGATTAGTGAAGGTCCTATGTCTGATCCCCACTATAGAAGCATCCTTAAGGGTGATTTTGTTGATGAGGTTGGGTTTTTGTTTTTTTGAGGGTGTATGTGTCTCACTATGTAGACCTAGCAGGCACAGAACTCACTACACAGACCAGGAATACCTGGAATCACATACCTGTTCTGCCTCCTCGGTGCTGAGATCAAAGCCCCATGCCACCGTACCCAGTCTTCACATGATTTCAAGACATGATCAGTGGACGAGCCTGCACCCTAGCTGTTCTAATAGTCGAGGAAGGAGAACTGAAAGTTCAAGACAGAGTGTGTTCGAGCCAACCCTGGGAATACAGCCCAGTGGGAGAGAGCCTGCAGAGCACATGACTGACTGACTAAAAGAGTATTCCTCTCGGGGCTGGAGAGATGGCTCAGAGGTTAAGAGCATTGCCTGCACTTCCGAAGGTCCTGAGTTCAATTCCCAGCAACCACATGGTGGCTCACAACCATCTGTAATGGGGTCTGGTGCCCTCTTCTGTCCTACAGACATACACACAGACAGAATATTGTATACATAACAAATAAATAAATATTAAAAAATAAAGAGCATTCCTCTCTTTTACACTTGTGGGAGTTCCTTCTCATTTTTCCTTAGTTAATCTGCATTTGAGGCAGGCGCACCTACTATCCCAGCACTCAGAAGCAAGGGCATATGGATCTCTGTGAGTTAGTTCAGCCTGGTCTAGAGAGAGAGTTCCAGGACAGACAGCCTAGGCAACCTAACGAAACGCTATCTCAAAATATAAAACAACAAAAATTTAATTTTTCTACTTAAAATAAAAAGTATAACTGTGTGCTTAGTTGCTAATCATAAATGCTATAGATAAAACTTAAACCAGAAAAATCAATGACTTCCTAGGAAACACACAACTCACTGGGCAGTGGTGGTGCACGACTTTAATCCCAACACTTAGGAAATAGAGGTAGGCAGATCTCTGTAAGTTTGAGGCCAGCCTGGTCTACAGAGAGAGTTTCAGGACAGCCAGAGCTACACAAAGAAATCCTGTGGAGGAGGGGAGGGCGTCAAGATGATTAACTCTTGGCTGATAAGCCAGGTTGGGTGAGCAGGGTGGGGGCACCTTTAATCCTATACTCAGGAGACAGAGGCAGGAGGATGGATCTCTGTAAATTCAAGGCCAGCCTAGTTTGCAGATCTAACACTCTGATAACATCAAGATGATTATAAGGTTGCTGGAACAGCTTGTAAGACAAAGCTAAAGTGTGCTCACAGTTTAAGCATCTACTTAAAATTGACAATACTTTAGCACAAAAATCCAGCAAATGTGACAATATGGCAACCATTGTCTGAACTTCACTTTGCTGTAACAAGATAGGACGATTCTTAGAAAATTCAAACTGCAAATACAAGTTTGAGGAGTTAAGAGAATGTCAGATTATCACTATGTAGGCCAGGCAGGCTTCAAATTCAAGATCATTTGCCTCAGTCACCCAAGCGATGTCGTCATGGGTCTGTGCCACCATGTGCTGGCAAAAACTAAAGTGTTGGTTTTGTTTGTCTTTCTCTCTGTTTTTGCATCAGAGTCTCACTATGTAACACCCAACTCGAAGATCCACTTGTTTTGCTCCCAAATTCTGATACTACAAGTGTTTGCCACCGTGCTGGACAGGATATTTATACAAAAGTGGGCTTCAAGTATTATTTTCTGTCAGCTTTCCTTTGGTAAATGGAAACTTAAACTTACAGTTTTGTTTTTCTTAATTTTTCAAGACAAGGTTTCTCTGTCCTGGAACTTGCTGTTCTGTAGACCAGACTGAACTCAATCTCAGAGATCCTCCTGCCTCTGCCTCCCTAGCGCTGGGAAACCCAGGGTTTCTAAGGCTGGTGGAGTACAGAGGGACACTCACAGTCTGGACAGCAGCCATTAAACGCCATCCTGCAGATGCCGCAGTTCTCATCATTGGCTACCCAGAGCCAAGTGGCCACACCGTTCCAGCACTTAATCTTCACCTTCATGGCAGTGGAGCCTGTGACCTGAGGGAAGAGAATCAAGAGGCTAAAGTTAGTCTGTATCACTCCAGCATTTGAGCATTTAAATGGGGGAGCTGCGACAGGCGCTGGGTGCTTCAAGGGATCCATCCACGCTTTCTAGTGTATTTTGCCATGTTTAAGGATGTCTTTGGAAATCTGCAGCCAAGCAGTGGGGCGGGGTCACACACTCCTTTAATCCCCGACACGAGCCTTTAATCCCAGCACTCCATCCCAGCACTCGGGAGGCAGAAGCAGATGGCTTGGACAGAGTTCGAGGTCAGCCCCTCCCCTCCCCAAAAAAGGAAAAAAGAAACAAAAACAAAACAAAATAACGCGTCCGTGGAAAACGTCTAGCTTTTCCTTCACAACCAGTGCTTTGCTTTTAAACCTCAGAAGGAAAGAGTCACAGTCACCAACTTGCTAAAAGAAAACCACGCCCTCGAGCAGACGAACCCGAACTCCGACCCCACACAGCAGCCCCGACCGCGGGGGTCCCGAAGAAGCAGACGGAACGCGACGCCTAGGCCACCCGCCTTTTCCGGCCTCCGGGGGCGGGGCCCGGAGTCCCCGCCCACTCCTCGCCCTCGCACCTTCGCCGCCTAATCACGAGGCGCCCCGCCCTTCCGTTGCCGCCGCGCGGGAAGGTATAAACACGACCGTGCCGCGTCCGGCTCCTCAGAAGCGGCTCCCGCTGTCCCCTAGCGCAGTGCGCAGGCGTCCGCCGGCCCCGCGCGCGCCGAGACCAATCAGTGGCCGCCGCTGGGCCGCGACGCCGGAAAACCGGGGGCAGGGGCAGGAAGTG